ATCCTCGGATTACGACAATCCCGATTTACGACGATTCGTAGTGACAATGCAATCTCCATTAATCTTGTTTCCTGGTTGTACGCCATATTAGATTGTTGTGCATCCACACTCTTTCGTTTGTATTGTGTTTATGGACACTTATCGCCTTTCATTATGGCTCCCAAGCAGTATAACCTCTTCTGATGGCGGTTCTCCGAAGAAAAGTAAAGCCATTACCACGGAAGTTAAAGTAGACGTTGTTAAATGCTCGGAAAAGGGAGAAATAGCGACGAACATTGGCCAGTTACGACCGTTAACATATGTCATAGAAATGTGTTGCTATGTCCTAGATTATGACTTTACTATTGCGTTAACATATGTGAGTGACGTAAGTACTTATTTACGGAAAATTGCGATACGTTCGGATTTATACGGAAAATCGCGTTCTTACGATGTGTCGGAACGGAACGTAAACTCTTTGCCATGAGAAACACATGATCTAAAGAGAAACAAGATACTGTAAAATTATCAAGTGATGAAAAAATAATTTTTTTTTTTTTACGAGAGGCTATAGAAAGCCTGAACAAGAAAGTCATAAAAATTGTTTGCTCATTTGGGTCTATGTTAGGTAGTGGGTCGTTATCAACTTTTACATTTTCCGTTGAAGTGATCAATAATTTTGTTCGATCTCTTGCCAGTTGTCATCAATAAAATTCAGCGAAAGCGTCAAATCAATTCCCATTAAAAGTCTATTGGCTTTCTCTTCATTTCATTACTCATCAATAATTTTTTCAATAATTAAATGGAAACGAAAATTTGCATTGTCTTAATAACTTGGCAAATATTGAATTGATTAGAAATTCCATGATTCAATTATTTGTGCTAAATGAAGACGCCACAATGAATGCTAGTTGCTGTTCTGAGACAAAATATTATCTTTAATTATTCGATTTAGTATCCGCGTCTTTTGGCATTGTATTTCCTTGGGATTTGTAGGGATATTATTATTATTCATAAATAAAAACAATAATAATAATGACTATGATAAATTAAAATAGAACAAGTAGCATTAAAACTTTGTTTAAAATGAATTAAATGAATAAAAAAAAAGAAGTTTCCCCAGCTTGCAACATAAACTTTTCCTGTCTGTACAACGACTTCGAGACAAACCATACCGAATTCTAGTCAAGACGTTCATCATCTCTTCTCATCACATTGTTTGTTATAATACGAAGTGACTTCTTCCTTTCATCACATGCAACATTAACACACTTGTAACTAAAATACACACACTTACAAATACACAAGAATAAACTGTATGGTTTTAATTTACAATTTAACATGCTTTTAGTGTTATTTCTTTGTATGTTTTATTCCTGTTAACACGAGGTTATTTCTGATCCCTTTGGGCTTTCTAAACGGTATTTTGAATCCAGAAGAACTTGAGTCACATCAAGGGGTCAGATGTCGTCGTATTGCTATTCGTTTTATTGCGCATCATTTATACTTTATTCATGAAGTCGAGGTATCATAAAAGAAAGTTCTTTTAGAACAATTACCATGAAAGTATTTACAGAAAAGGCACATCGAAGGTATGTTACGGCGGTGGGTAAGTAACTGAAGCCGACACGCCAGGTCAGGATCAATAATACTGCAGATTCTTCTTTTGATTCTATCAAGAATCTCTAAATACATAGACCTGATATGGTAACAATATTCAATGAATGAAGGAATTATAGACTTATAAATGTGTAAGATAAATTCTGTTGAGAAAAATTGTCTTACACGATACAGTGGAACCACATTCGTAGTACCAGACCAAGCAATGGACTCAATATAATCTTTACGCTTCATGTCAGCGGAAAACGTTAGCCTGAGACTCCACAGTGAGTCACTCTCCTGGAGGTTAGCATCAGCTAAGCTGATGAAAGACACAAAGGATTCTCGCAGACGATTAAAAAAGAGCAATGTTGTTTTGGAGTTGTTAAAATTAAATTATTCTTGTCCCAGTTAATAACAGATTCTGTCTATATTTCTGAGATTAGGTATTATGTCCACTACTTACATTATTCGCACTATTGTCATCATCTTTCTCGCCATATTTATTACAACGTTTCGGCCGTTGTACGCTCAGACCTTCGTCGGGTGATTGGAATCTCGAAATGAACCCTTTATTTCGCTCTCCACGTGCCATGTTGTAATGGATGTCAGTTATCAGTTATCTCCTGTTAATTCCCCTCTCCAGTGGATAAAGGCGTTGGTTAGATCCAGTGACAAGACCCAAAGAGTGTGAGTTCAATACCCGGTTAATGCAGTGGAGAACTTGGAGAGGGTAATTTAAAAAATATTTTTCTGGTAGGTAATCAGATTTAATCAGAAGTAAGTAAATAGTTTGAAAACCGTCATATATATATATATATATATAATGAAAGGTTACGCCATGCCAACAATACCTCATAAATAATGGACTAATTCGTTTTTATCGGGTAGGAAGACAGAAGACATATCAGAGATGCTACTTGGTTTCAGTATCTCCTGTTAATACTTCACAATGACACAATAAAAACAAAAATAGGCCGGTCCATAGTTTGAACAACAGAATATCATTCACTCTGGGTGTGAGCGATCGTTGCCCTCCTCAACTTCCTCAGATGTTTTATAGCTCTAAGATATGTCTGTCTCCTTGCTATCCTTTCCAGTTCATGGTCTGCCATCCATTTACACAAGCTTGGTAGGTTACTCAATATTTCCCTTTGTCCCTTCAGAGCGTGAATGATCATGGCTCTCCACGACATTCTATTCTTTACAGCTTTTGCAATGTTTGTCCTCTGACTATCCATTTACAGAAGCTCGTCAAGTAGGCTGATCTGGCTCTCCACTACTTCCTATCCTTTGTTGCTCTTCGCAATTTTTGTCTTTTTGCTACCCTTCCCTGTTCTTCCATCTGTTTACACAATCTCGTTAGATAGGTTGAACGTGGCTCTCCACTACTTCCTACCTTTTGTAGCCCTTAGCAACGTTTGTCTTCTTGCTATCTCTCCCATTCCAATTTCTTCTATCCATTTACCCAACCTCGTTAAGTAGGCTGATAATGGCTCTCCACTACTTCCTATCAGTTGTAGCTCTTAGCAATGCTTGTCTTTTGACTATCCATCCCATTCCCTGTTCTGAAATTCATTTTCCACAAGATTCTGTAGAAATGGTAAACCAAAATTTCCTATTTTCAGACTTCTTGACTAATATTTCCTTATTGAAATTTAAAGTGCGTAACACGGTTTTAGCTAGTCTAGGCCCTAAATTAAAAAAAAAAAAGATTGTAAAACACAGCTCTCGTGTAATGAGTTTTAGTCCCTTTGGGTGGTGAAGGTGTACCAAATTAAACTAAGCGATGTTTCAAAAGCAGCAACAGAATCAGGACAAATAGAAACCTCGGCCAGTGAAGTCAAGTGTGACAAGAGGCAAAAGCAACAGCATTAGGTTCAAGGTGTCTTCATTCAGGATTGAACCATGGAACAATAGGTTCTTTGTCGTTTCCCCCATTTGACTTGCCTGCTAGTGTTAGATTCTCCGAGCTTTCTTTCCTCGTTCAGTGTTCCTAATATTTAAGTTATCTCTTTTCTTGTAATTTATATTCTCCTTAAAACATTCTAATTATGTACATTCTCTATCCATTGTATTACTTAATCTTCGTCGGCAGAACCACGTCAATGTTCTTCTTCATCTGTGAGAAGACTGTCCATTATTTAATGCCAATATGCTTGTCATCATTATGAATATGCAAAGTTTGAATTTGAATTCCGAGTTGCACCTGTTAACATTCTTTCGTATAAGATATTAAAGTAACTAGTAAATACCAGTGAAAATTTCACTGTTTTGCTTGTTTAATTTTCTGATAACTCATAATTCTTAAGTTAATGATTGGATAAGATCTTTGCGAGTTGGACGACTATAAAATGCCGATGAAAATGACTCTACTTGATTGTTAAAATATTCAAACTACGTGTGCTATCCATTTTAATTGTTGATGCTTTTGACAGTCCTCAACTGATGTGGTTTCTGTTATTTGGTACAGTTCTCTGTGAATATGTAGCGCCAGTCTATAAAGTTCATAGAAGGATGGTCTTTGTTAAGATTTACAGGCTTCATTAGGTGTCCCATACTATGAACGTCCTGGGTATGACGTTAAACTGCATCCAGCAGCAAGGCCTCTGATCAGGAGGTTTTGAGGAGCGTGGAACCACCTCTTAATTGCTGGTGTTCCCAGGTCCACCCTG